TTAGGTCTGGTTCAAGGTATGGCAGTTAAAGACGTTCCTATTAGGAAATGACCAGGTTTAATTCAGTTAAATCATTTGGATCAGCCGATGTTGGACACAATGGCCTAGAGTTGAGACAAGCCTCAACCTGCGCAAGCCTCAACCTGTCAGATTGTGATTATGATTTCTGTCAGATTGTAACACAATCTGACAGAAATTATAATTAGACACTTTCATGTCAAATATCTGCATGCAGCACCAGAACTTCTTCTATCTTTAATTAGACAGTAATTTTGGATCATAGCTGCTAGATCTGCTATCCGAAAAGTAGTAAGATCTTGTATCACGTGTTGCAAACTTAGAGCTAAACTGCAAGTAAAATAATGGCTGATCTACCGGAATCTAGAGTAACACAATCGGGAACATTTCATCGAACTGGAATAGATTTTTCTGGACCTCTCATGATTAACATAGTGCAGGACGGGGACAAAAATCATTAAATGTTACGTATACTTATTGTGTGTTTTGTAATAAAGGCAGTAATCTTGAAGTGGTAGAAGATTTGTCAACAAAGGATTTTTAAGTGCATTGAAACGATATTGCAAGAAGAGGGAAAACCATTTGAGATTATGTGACTGCGGTACTAACTTAAAAGTGCAGACAAAGAAATCAGAATGTTTTTGCAATGTAAGCAAAATCAAGAAATTCACAAATTTGTCTTTAGAGGAAATAAAATGGATTCAACCCGCCATCATCTCCCCAATTGGTGGACTATGGGAATCGGCAGTAAAGTCAATGAAATTACATCTAAAATGTACTATTGGTGATACTGTGCTGACCTAACCAAATTTCAGACCTTGATAGCGCAGGTTGAGGCTTGTCTCAACTCTAGGCCATTGTGTCCAACATCGGCTCATACAAATGATTTAACTGCATTAACACCTGGTCATTTCCTAATAGCTACGTCTTTAACTGCCATACCTGAACCAGAGCTAAATTATAGTTCCTTCAATCACCTTGACAGTTGGCATGTGAAACAGTTTATTTTTCATCACTTCTGGAAAAGATGGAGTAGAGAATACCTGTCTCAGCTTCAAAAACCTAAATGGCAAAAAAGTCAAAAAAATTTAGAAGTCAATGACTTAGCCCTCATAAAAAAGACAATCTTCCGCCTCTTAAAATGGAGGTTAGGGAGAATAATTGCTGTTCATCCGGGCTCAGATCATAGAGTCAGAGTTGTTAGTATTAAAACTGGTCATGGTGTCATAAAACGACCAGTCGTGAAATTGGTCCTATTTGTTCAGACTAAAAACTATGAACTGCTTCGAATAATATTTTGTATATTTTTCTTAGTTTATCTTTATTACGACTAAGAAGTTTCAAAATGCTCAACTGTTGAAATCCCTGGGATTTCAACGAGGGCCAGGATGTTTATGTGAGTATCGTTTGCTTCATTTTATTGTTGCAAACAGCGTAAATTTTTTTGTTTTTCTCCTTTAGTTTGAACTTTATGTGGCAACAAGATAATTGATTGATAGAATGGTTTGTGACAGCCATGTAGAATGACTCGCTTATTTTGTATCAATTATTTCGCATCGCTGACATATTATTTATAATTAGTCTAATGAAATAAAAATGAAGGAATACAGTCCATGTGTTAAGTGATTATTGTTTGTGAAACATATTAAGTAAAGATCGTTTATTTAAATTTCGTTTTACTTATGCTGTTTACAAACAAATTTGATTAAGGGAAGATCCTTTAGTATTTGGACGCCATATATTCAAAAATCCAATTATTTTGTAGGGATTATGTTAATTTTATTAACAGTTAAATTTTAAGTTAAAGTTCCTTTCCTGTCAAATTCTTAACTTCAACTTACTACTTCCGGCCAGAACTAGTTTTAGAATTACTCTGAATACATAATGAGAAACAACGGTATTTAACCGCGAAGTTCTACTTGTTGAGTTAGAGTGAATCAGAGTTTCTGATTTGCGCGCGTCTGCCTTTTCGGCTTCTCTCTCGCAAAGCTGTTATTACGCTCCGCCCGTACTCAGGCCCTTGATAACTTTGCAGTCAATTAGCGTTAGTGGGCCAACTCGGTTAAAATCTTGATAGCTTAGGCTATATCTCTTTAGTTTAGATTAGTTTTAGTTTAGTTCTTAGCCTAAGTTCAAGCCTAAGTATCGGCTTTTATTGTACACTCCAAGACGGAGTTCTGTTAAATCTTATTTGAATAATAAAGAGTTAGTTATCCTTCCATCTTATTGTTTCTTGTCATACGAACTTAAGCGATTATTAGCTTAGCAGTTCTTAAAATTCTTCATGTTCAACTGTAAATTAGCACTTACAAAGTTAGGAACTCTACAATTTAATTGCTTGTCATTGTTTCTAGGTCAAGCCTGTTGTTATTAGTTTACAGTTTTCATTTTCTCAATTATTTGAATAATAAATAAAATGATAATAAAGTGTGCATAAATTTTAAGAAGTTATTCCGTTAACCGTTAACATAGATAAATATGTGCGACGTACAGATTAGCTTTCAATATAGTCTAGAACGATTTACAGAAAGCAGTTACATTATATAAGTTCCATTATTTTTAATTTGAGGCTTTGTTTGCTCATAATAATATGACTTTCTTAAAAAAGGTAAATAATTAAGATGTTTAGATTTTTAAAATAAAAAGTAATTTCTTTGTTTGCACTTCACCAGAATATTATGTGTTTTGTCTGATAAATAAAAACATAACTACTATCATAGCTTTATTTTAGTCAAAATAAAAATGGACTGTGTGTTTATGCATGTAATAAATTTTTAATTTGCTTGATTCTATCGACATACTTCGAATTTTGCGTTATGAAAATACTGATTATTTGTACTACATAAAATTTGTTGAAATAAAATAATTAAGGCAAAATCTTCCATTAACTGATTTTAAATAAATGATATTCCGCTTACGGTTAAAGGTAAACTCTATTAATTATTGAGATATTTTAGACATTTGCATTAACTCTTGCAAAGTTACATTATTTCCTACACTGGGCGTTTCTAGTTTGACTGTTGACAACTGGGATATCAGCCTATTTTCGGCGGTACTAGGCATTTAGGACATTTGATGCTAAACTCAATTCTAACAAATAAAATATCGAAAAGCTTTATTCTAATTATCTTTCAACATCCGTTGGTTTATCAAAATAATGCCCATTATTAATGCGCTGTATTTTCAAGCTTACTTTGATAAATATATTTACTAGCATATCTGCATCGAATCTTAAAAGCGATTGAACAAATGCCTTCTCCAGTCTCCTTTTTTACCCAAAAAATATATTTCTGCTCCCTAATTTACTTTGCTTGATATGCAGTTCTTTTATTTGATTTAAAAATATTCAGAAAAATTGAAGGCAAGCGTATTTTGTCATTAGTACTTTCACAAAATAATATATTTATTCATAAAGATACAATCCTCCTACAATGAATTCAATAAACCCCGAATTTATTTTTGTCTTAAAATCAATATATAAAGCAGTTATTTCTCAGTTTATGCGAGTTTCCATTGCGATGAAATACAGCATCTATAAAGATGGACATACGTATTTGAAATAATATGGAAGAAAGCTGTTTGTTAATATAAATGAAAGTAACGTGCTTAGTAGAAGCAGTAATTCAAGATCATGAGAGAATAAATTATTTACAGATGCGCAGTTCTCGTTCAGTATAAATAGCTCAACCAAATCATGTATCGCAAAAATCCTCGATTCGTTTCTACTCTTGTTACTTTAATCGACATTGTTCGATTGTAGAATGTGGAATTTGACTGCTTTCGCTCTGCTATTTACTCTTACTCTGTTGTGTTCCGCTCAAAATTCGGAAGAGGATTGCGCCAAAACGTGTGTAAACGGATATATGTACACCGTTAACAAAAAGGAAACGAGGAATACATATGGCCGTTGCCCCTGTCGTCCGTACGCCCTTAGATCCAGCCGCAAGTAAGTCTTCAGTTCTTAAATATGCTGACTAACCCAGTTAGTTTAAATCATCATTTTCGCGATATAATGAAGGTTTAGTTTGTTAATTAAAAACTGAATAAATTTGAAACAATGTAGCGATATTAGGTATCTTTTGGAAGCTGGCAAGATGAAAAATATGCAACGCCTTCGCCGGGAATCGAACCACGGACCTCCGGAATACCGTCCCAGCGTGCAGAACCACTACACCACGAAGGCACGCTAGGAAACCGGAACAAGTACTTTATAGCATAAAATAAATTTCTTATGCTTGGCTGAACAATAATAAACTTAGAAAACATTTCAATTTGATGTTTTTTAAATTCCTGAGTTTGTCTATTAAATTCGAAAGACAAATAGATATATTGCTTTCTCCCGAGTAACCACATACTTCTTTCCTATTGTCGTGCTTTCAGATTAAACTTGAAACATAAATATTTCACGTTCTGTAGAGTATTTTTTAAAGACACAAAGCCTTTAAATGGCTGAATTTGAATCAAACGTTCACACAATTAACTCAAAAGTTATGTATATAAAAAGGGCGAACCCCTTGGGGTGGTTTCGGAGAACTCGTATGTAGACAGCGAGCTTTCTCTTGCTTTGATGGTCAAGTGCGCCAAATTTCACCAAGATTAAACTGTAAATTTATTTGTATGAAAGATGGATACTAACTAGTCTTTATTTACATAGCTTTATTTAAAGAAAGAAAACATCTGCGTTGCTTAGAATTTAATTTGCGGTGTAGTTTAAAAACTGGTAAATTGAAACATATGTTACAAAGCAGATCCATTTATTATCATCAAAGAAGAGTAAAAAATCTTGAAATCAAAGACTATTTTAAATTTTCTTCGTGGATTTCTTTCCAAGATTTCAAAACCTGAAAACGAATGTAAAACTATTTGCTTTAAATTAACCTGCTCCTTAATTTTGCATCTTAAAATTCTAAATAAAGTATTTGGCTTAAATTCGAAGTAGTGTAATAATTTTCCACTGAAATTTGAAATTTAGTTGCCTTTGGGTTACATCTTAACACCTGAATTAAAAAAGTTAAAACCGAATTTGTTACCTCGTGGATTGACAACAGATTCATTTTGTAGGATTCCGTTTATCAGAGTTTCATGTTTTTATTAGTTTTTATTTCAGCAATTGGGGGCCAGGACATGTAAGTAAAATCCTTTTCAAGTGCTTATACTGGCAAATAAATATATATATTATATTTTAATATATATACTTATTTGGTCCGGTATCCCACAGGTCCGGGGTTCGATCCCCGGGCTGGCAAGGTTGACTCAGCCTTTCATTCCTTAAGTGGGTTGATAAAATGAGTTACCAAGTTCGCTTGGGAACTAAACACGGGTGTTCCTGCGACAAGCTGACCACTCCGGGCCTCAAAGGTCAAGAAAGCAGAAAAAAGGGCACTGCAGACCGTGTCCCCACTAGAGCTGTTGAGCTACTGAGTTTAGTTTTCTTTTTTTAATTTTATTTTAAGTATTGAACATTGGAAATAGGTAAGTTAAGGAGCAAGGGAAACTATATTTATATAATGAAGAAGTCAGTAAAATTGACAAAAACATTACACAGCCTTAATGCAGTCCTGTTTGCTACTGAAGAAGTTAATTTACACTAAGTAATTTACTTACACTAGTTAGTGTTAAATTAGACTTGGAAACATATGATGTAAACGAAGTGAATACGTGTTTTAAAGCAATTTTAGTACACGTGTTTCAAGATTTAAACCCCTAGGGAAGAAACCGAATTCTGCAATGACTCTTGAGTCAGTTACAATTACCTAAAAATCATTAATTTGATATTTTAGGTAATATTCTCTACAAGGTTTTTTGGGGAACCAAGACTCATTTGATCCTAATTACTAAATGTAGAACAGAAATTCAGCTTATGAGACCCACAGAGTTAAAAGATATATTCGATGCAGTTATAAGGCATTTATCACACCTTCTTAGCAAGCCTTCGTAGTGTAGTGGTGAGCACGCTAGGCGCGTATTCGAGGGGCCCTTGTTCGAGTACCGGCGAAGTCGTTGCTCATTTTTCATCTCTCCTGCTTCCAAAATACCTAATGTGTCTACACTGGGTCCAGAACTAAAGGGTTGTCGACGATGATTCTCCAGAACCAGGATTTGGTGATACAACCAGGATAAAACATATAAAGATGAAATTCTTTCTCAAAGAAAATGTTAAAAATGCAACTAATAAGCTGCCTTTTAGAAACAAACTTAATAGTCAAATACGTTTCATCAGCGAATATACTGTAGCTACAGACATACAAGAACTTTATAAATCTTACAAATTGCTTAAGGATTATGATAGACTCTTAAAACTACCTAGCTGGTTTAGTTCTGTTCCCTCTAATCTCAGAAATCACCTCAATAATTTGCAAAATTTGCGTTTAGTACGGACAAAAACACAACTGAACAATTTGACTGAGTTGTACTAATAATAAGCTAGTTAAAAAATCGGCGCACTGTTTACCGATATAACTATGCCTATATTAGAGCATACTGGAAAAACGTAATTTAGAGTCGTGGCTCAGGAAAATCAATAACATTAGGTTACCCCTTAAAAACCCCAATTAAACTTATTTCAAGCATTTTAAATTAAAACCCCAATTAACCTTATTGATAATTTTTGGATTTTAAATTGATAAACATTAATTGCAAATTTCGAACCAGAATATTAACTCATTGCTGTCTCAAGACTAATATTTCAAACGCCATTAAATTTCAGAGTATTAAGAGAAATATTAAAAAATCTGATGTGTACACCACAGAACTTCCTTTTACGGAATATTAAATTATACGCATGCTTTTTTTCATTTCATATAAACTTATTTTCTCTAATTTTATTACAGATATATTTCTCATTCAATAAATTCAGTTCTCAGTTCGCGTCAAGGCAAAAATACATAAATAATCAAAATACCTTCAATAAAAAATAAGTATAGAAAAAATATAAACCCCGAATACAGTTAAAGTCATCAAAAAACCAATTTTTACAATTAAAAGTAGAGTTTCTACGCAAAATAGGCAATTCGGCCAGCAGAAAATAAAGCATAAATATTTAATACATACTCGTGTATATTTTGCTTCGGATCATTCGCGCATGAGATGTAAAATAAATATTTTACTAATCATGCAGAATGCAATCTATCGCTTTTAGCCAGTTACTTATTTTTTTTTGATGGAACGACTAAAGCCGGATTTTTAAATTGAAAATAAATTTTTCATAAAATCTGATGTGTACACCACATGACGTCCTTGTACGGAATATTAAAGTATACGCATTTTTTCTTGCATTTCATTTAAAATCTACTTATTGGATTGAATTAAATCTACTTCGCCAACAGCGCATAAACCACAATAGAATAAATTAATTCTTTAAAATTCACTGTATTTGTTTACCATAGCGACACTCTGGCGCTAGATTCACTTAACAATATTATATTTCGTTCATATTTATAACTCAGAATGCACAAAATTTATATCATTTAAAGAATAGAATTATCTAATCGTTGCCACATGTTCTATTCAAATACTAGAATAAAGCTAGAATGGTGTATAAAAATAATTAACCAAACAAAACAAAAAAGAAACAGTTTTTCACAAACGATTGAGTATTTCTCATTCAATTAAATCACTTCTCACTTCGCGACAAGGTAGAAATACATAAAAACTCAAAATATCTGTATTAAAAATTACGAAGTAAATCTTAAACACTTATTTCCACGAAAAAATTCCCGAAAGGATTAAGCATGATTTAATTCGCAATAATAAATGAAGGCATTATCTTTGCTGTTGCGAAGCTACGTTTCTCTAGATTGGCGACAAATCCACTAGTCTGCTGTTTGAAATGCAAACAAGCGATGGCCGCCATCAAGAAAATTATAAGGCTTAGCGGCACTTAAACAACTCTTAAATTGTTGATAATTCTAAAAATATTGCATTCAGATTTACTAAAGGCATAAAAACCTTTACTGGAAGATAAGAACAACATAATTCAATCATTTTTAAAGCAAAAAAAAAAAGAACAATTTACAAATATATATGAGTAAAGAAACTGAGATCACTGAGCCCGGTAACAGAGAGGATATATATATATATATATATATATTTATATTTACATACGTTTGGTACGGCCGATGGCAACCAAAATACGAGGTGCACATCTACATGTTATAGCAGTCCTATATACAAAATTTCAACGTTCTGAGTTGTTTTTGAATTATGCGAGATACGTACGTACGTACAGACGCCGCGAAAAATTCTCTTTAGAATTCATTTTTAAAGCAGTTTTATTAATTCTTTTGGAGAAAGCGTTTTTCATTCTGTCCTTTCATACAGATGTTTCATACATACGTTAAATTGCATTCGATAGCGGTCAAAATGGATATTTTCGTTGAAATATGCTGCCTGAAACTTTTCGCGATTACAATACTTACTTTTTACTTCGTACAAGGAAGAAAAAAGGAACTAAAAACTGAAAATCAGAAAGTTTTCAGATTTTAAGTTAAGCCCAAACAAGGGTTTTTTTTTTTAACATTTTGTTTGTAACCTTTATTTATAAAATATCATGTTCAGGAAATGTTTCGGTGCACAAAAATGAAAGTTTAATTTTGATCCCACTTTGCAAAAAGACATTGAAGGTGCAGAAAGACTTAGTTCACTATTTTTCTAAGTTTCAAATGTAAATAAATATGGTTGCAACGTTAAACATTAAGCTTAGCAGTACGTAAACCACTTTTAAATTGCTGATAATTCTACAACTATTGCATGCAGATTAATTAAAGGCACAAAACCCTTAACCGGAAGATAAGAACAACATAATTCAATTACTTTTAGCGCAAAAAATGTACTATTTACCAACATCTAATAATAAAAAATGAGTTTACTGAGCCGAGTATCAGAGTGGATATATATATACTTTTGATGCCGCCGATGGCAATCAAAACGGGAGGTGCACACCTACATATTATAACTGTCCTATATACAAAATTTTAACGGTCTTAGGCTAGTCGTTTTTGAGTTATGCGAGATAAATACATACATACGTACGTACAGACGCTACAAAAAACTCTCATTTGAACCCATTTTAAATCAATTTTCATAATTCGTTGGGGGGAAACGAATTCTTTATTTCTTCGTTACGTACGGATGTCATGCCACATTGCATTCGATAGTGGTGAAAACGGATATTTTCGTTGAAATATGATACCCGGATTTTTTCGTGTTTACAATTTCCTTTCGTTCGTACAAGGAAGTAAAAATCTGAAATAAATAAATTAAAAATTCGGAAAGCTTTTAGATTTTATATTACGTCCAAATGGGCTTTAACGTTTTGCGTGCTACCTTTGCTTGTTAATTATCACTTTATATATAAAAATTACATCTTACTTGTTTTCAAAAAAAAAAAAAAAAAGCCTTAAAATTCAGCATTCCTTTGTAGAGACATTAGGTAATTTTTGGAAGCAGAAGAGTTGAAAAATTAGCAAAGCCTTCACCGGGAATCGAACCTCTGAATTACCGGCTCAGTGTGCTGACCACTACACCACGAAGGCACGCTAGGAAGGCGGGAGAAATACCTTACACCATTTTTAATTGCTTTACAGACCTTTTTAATTGCTTATCATCTTCACCTGAGAAGACAAAGAATAATTAAACAATCAAATTAAACATTTTGATATTTTCTGTGTTTACAAACACTGAACTAATATTCGTAAGTGTAAGCAGTTCGTATCAAGTTTGTGAATAAACATGCCAGAAGCGTTACAGGCAAAATTACAAATCAAAAACGTCGTTGTATAAAACCTCACGGAAGAATAGAAAGCAAGCACAAAACATCGTCATCGAAAATAAAGAAGTTCAATAATTTCGCAATTTAAAAACGTAGCAATGGAAAATATCCTGGTAAAAAACAAACAAAGAAACTACAAATCACGCATGACGATAACATTGCAGAGGAACACTTTTTAGGCTTTAAAAGTTGTAAATGTATGTTTCCATTATGATCTGTGAGTGCAAGAAGTAATGAGGAATATTTTTATTTTTATATTTCATACTTTGTAATAGCTAATAAATATTTGTAGAGAAACTAAGAAAGAAAGAACTTAAGCATTCAGAAACTGAAAATAAGTAGAAAATTTATGGAAAAATTAACAATAAAAATTTTATTACCAAATTTTTAAGAGGCCCACCAGCCGGTAAAGTAGAGCGGTAAAGTCGCTGAACACTGGTAGTTCGGTCCGAGGTTCGAATCCCGCGAACGGGCTGGCTGCATGGGTGTTTTCGTGGTTTTCCCCATGTGTAACGTGTATACGAGCCAGTTTCCCTTAGAAAGTCCTCCACGAAGGCATCCCTCCCCTTAGGCAGATAGCCCTAGTGTGCTTTGCCATAATTAAATACACCACCAAATTTTAAGAGATTTTTAATTTTTATTCAACAATTTTAGTAGAAATAAATAAAACGCTTTAAAAAAAGATTAATTGATTAAAGAAATTTAGTAGATAAATATATAATTTTAAATTTCTGTTAATTGGATGCATAAGCATTAATTTTTGACTAATTTAAAATTAATAGCAAAATATTTCGTCTGTAAACGGCACATTGATAAAATGAGTACGTCCCAGCCACATACATTTTTACTTCCTTGTACGAAGTAAAACGGAAGTATTGTAATCGCGAAAATTTTCAGGCAGCATATTTCAACGAAAATGTTCGTTTTGACGGCTATCGAATGCAATTTAACGATGTTTTTTCGTGACATCTGTACGTAAGGACAGAATAAGAGACTTTTTTCTCCAAAATAATTATAAAACTGCTTTAAAAAGAATTCTGAAGAGAATTTTTCCTGGCGTCTGTACGTACGTACATATCTCGCATAACTAAGATACAAGTAGCCTCAAGAACATTGAAATTTTGTATATAGGACTGCTATAGCATGTAGATGTGCACCTCGTATTTTGGTTGCAATCGGCCGCATCAAACATATATAAATATATTTATATATCCACTCTGTTACTCGGCTTAGTTATCTCAGTTTCTTTACTCTTATATGTTTGTAAATTGTATATGTTTGTAAATTGTGCATTTTTTGCTTTAAAAATCATTGAATTATGTTGTTCTTATCTTCCGGTTAAGGCTTTTATGCCTTTAGTAAATCTGCAAGCAATATTTGTACAATTAATCAGCAATTTAAAAGCTGTTTAAATGCAGCTAAGACTAATTTTTAAATAACATTGCGGGCATATTTGTTTATATTTGAAAAAACAGATTTAGTAGATTTGTTGCCAATCTAGCAAGACTAAGCTTAGCAACAACAACGATAACGCCTTCATTTATTATTGCGAATTAAATCATGCTTAATCCTTTCTGGAATTTTTTCGAGGAAATAAGTGTTTACTTCGCAATTTTTCATATAGATATTTTGAGTTTTTATGTGTTTTCGCCTTGTCGCGAAGTGAGAACTGAATTAATTGAATGAGATATACTGAATCGTCTGTGAAAAACTGATTCCTTTTTGTTATGTTTGTTTAATTTCTTTTATACATCGTTCTAGATTTATTATAGTATTTGAATAGAACATGTGGCAACGATTAGACAATTATTCAAATGATATAAATTTTGTGCATTCTGAGTTATAATATTAATTCTTAATATGATATAAATTTTGTGCATTTTGAGTTAAAAAAATGGTGACATTCTGAGTTAATAAAATCATTCTGTGTTAGGCATTCGAAGTTTGTAATATCGCAGAATTCCGCGTTATAATAATGAACTTCATATGAACGCGGTTCGATTTCTGAGTTATAATAATACTATGCGTTGGTCATAATAATCTTCTAATTTTTATAATGTTGAGCTTTGTCTTTCACGATCGCGTTTTTGGATTATTGCATTTGATGTTCGTGACTTGCTAATACTGAAAGAAGGCCTGGTGGTTTGGATTCTTCTGGATGGTAAGTTTTTCTGTTGATGTTCTGGATGTCGGCACCTAACTTGAGTTAGGGCTAGGCTACTGATTTCAAAGGAGTTATGGAAAACGCTCCACTTGTTATTGATGATGCATTTACTGAAAGCACTTTTAGTCGGTTAGGTAGTAGTGGCAATAATGATCTAGTTATCGCTTTTAAGCAAATACTTGAAAATGAGCACTCTAAATTGATGTCACAACCTGAAACAGATGATAAAACTAATGATAGGATTAAATTATTTGAAAATGTATTACTAAAAATAAATACACAACGAGCTAAAGAAAAATGTAAAAGTTAAGCGTAAGCTCAACCAAATAAAAAACGACAGTTACTAGAACACCTAGTATTAAAAAACAAAAGCAAAAAGTCATCACAGACGCTGATGGTTTTACTACCCTGAGAGATTGGCGCATAAGCGTACTAGATCTAACTATGAATACGAGGCACCGGTCCAAAAAAAAAATAAGAAATGTTAAATGCCTGATGATCAAATGGAGCAAGATAGATGAATAACGCAAATTATTTTGTCAAACCCAAAAAAAACTGCAGGGCATATTCCTCCAATTGTTACTTGATGATTTTAAACTCCAACTGGGATAAACTTAAAGAAGAGATAGAGGCTTTAAACATCAAATTCAAAGGTAACCTAACTGGAGACCATCTCAAGATTAAAGTTTTTTCACTCCAAAGACTACAGAGTAGTCACTAAAATGTTAGAAGGATAGGGACATCCCTTTTCACACATTTCAAATTCGGAGGATTTAACATCCTCACTATTGCTGATTTTTTGATGGTCAACAACCTTCTGGAGCTGATCTGACATACTATGTCAGATCTTTCGAGGATAAGCAGCAACAACAACAACATAGTTTATATATTGGTATTCATTGTTATTCTTAATTTTTTTCGCCTACTTCTATTTCAATACATTTTGAATAATGTTGTCACGCCCGAGAAAAATAATTTTATCACACTAAATCGCTTCAATAATTTTATTTTGGAAAGCCTGATTAATTGTTAATTCAAAAGAACGTTTTAACATTTTCTCTGACATCGAGTGGCTGGTCTTTGGATATTTAATATTTTTTCCCTGTTCCGTTAATAAACGGTGTGTAAATGCGAAGTTTGAACAAATGACTAACTGAAAATGGCATAAAGACGAGAATTATCTGGCCCGAATTTTCAAGTACTGTCGACTGGAATATTGGTTGCGCCCACTTACCCCAAAATTATCCATGCAAAGGATGCAGACTTATCGGGTGAGCCGAACTACCTTAATTTTACTGTAGTCACTAATCCGAATGCATACAAAAGACCACAAATCGCTTCTGTAAATATTTACATAATTTTATGTGCAGCTCATGTTTATTAATTTTGGGAAAATATAGTAAATATAAATATTACTTGTTAATAATTATTTACTAATTATCATACATATGAAATCATTTGTTATATACAATGGCTTTTTAAGTTAGATTTGCTATTCTTCTTTTCCAAAGCTTCGAAGGAGGATATCCGACTTACAGAGACCAACATCCTTACGATTTGCTGCGTGATTATCTAAAGCAGTATGAAGATTTGAGAAGGGAAACAGATTTTAGATTAAATGTAAGGTAAGATGTTTTGAACGAAATTTTAGTTTTATTACTTATTTTATATAATTTATATTATCGTTGTAAACATACCGGTTTTTGAATTGCACTTACACAGGCTTTCTTTATCTCGTAAAACCTTTGACACATATGCTACAGTTTGGAAGATTTGTACAAATATTTCATAGCCTGGAAAGAGTTTTTAAAAAATTAAGAAAAAGGCTAAATACGACCTGGAAATGCAAAATATGTACATATACTAGTACACACGCACACACACATATATGGATACTAATATTACATAGTGCACTAATATATATATACTTGTAGTATAACATATACTAATACTTATCATTTATTATTAAAACATGTTTTTGATCCTTCCAAAAAGAAATTTAATCTTCTGATGTCTCGTGTTATCAATGTACCTAACATCATTTTATATGTTAATATATTGATATTACCAGTATATATAAACCTGACTAACCATGCGTCATTTATTGTACAATATAAACTAAGGTACAGACACAGAGGCTATTCATTAGGTTGTTTCAATTTTGTAAGGCAAAAATGAAATGTAAAATTTTTAGCGAGTCTTAGCAATGTAAAAGATTTATATGTGAAATTTTAAGAAGATTGGATAATATTTAGAAGTTGTACATTTTGATCAGTTTTATAAAAGTAGGCAAAAAATGCGATTTTTCAATGTTAATTACCTTGATTGGGCAAATTAGACATCATAAACTTGAAATAATATTAAAACCAGTCACTAAGATTAATAGGTAGCATGACACGCAACTTTAATCAACTTTGAGCGATGTAATCTTTTTTTTCGATCGCTTGGTAAAATCATTTACATGATGTTCCACAAATCTCCTTAAGAACTGCTTTTGTGATCGTCTTTGACCGATTCGTTAAACTTTCAATAACAGTAATACCTCTTTCTTACTGAAGGAGAGTTCACATGGCTTCTTAGAGAATTATTGCAGTATTCTGTACACTAGTAACAAAATGGCTCAGGCGTTTGCCTTCAAAAACTAGGTTTTTACCATCTAATTGTTTCATTTCGTTTTTTTTTTTTTTTTTTTTTTTTTTTTTTTTTTTTTTTTTTTTCTTTTCAGGTTTAGTTTCTATATTTTCAATCATATTTTACTTATCAGCCTGAGTAATACTTCGTCTAAAGAAGCCTGTCTTACGTTTATTCCTGACAGATACCAAAGGTGTCTCCTATCAAATGTGAGAGAACGTTTCTGACGTCTGTAGCTGGATAACTGCTCGGAAGTTGTAGCGTATTAAGATTTATTCTTTGGAACCCACTGACTTACAGTTGTCTCGTGCCAAAAGCGAGCATATATTAGGCTGAAAACAATTTTCATTTTGTTTTATTCCTTTCAAATCTCGCTGAGGAATATTAAATTCTTAATTAACCCTTCAGCACACGCGCATCACTGCGCTACGTTAGTACCCGCGCGGGACAAATTTTACTCCAGTGTTTAGGATTATTATTAGGATACCCAGTGAATTAGGATTTCAATGAATGGATAAATGACTAATAGCTTTGTGAATTCTATTAAACCTTTTTTCCAGTTTTACTTCGAGATAATCTTACTTTAAGTTATACAAACATTTCCATACTGGTTACCTAAAGTAAGCCATAAAAATCGAAATTTATGCAAAATTACTAACTTATATAAGATACATATATGATTTTTTTATATTAGAAAAATTCGTTTTCATATATACATATTTGTTAAACATAAGTGTTATTATAAAGAGTGGTTTGATAAAGTACTAGAGGAATATGAAAAGGCTTCATTCTTACTAGTTTTTTTTCCTTATAAACTCAATATAATGTCATACAATTATTCATATCAAAGAATAGATTCTAAATAAGAATATTAAAAAATATAAATAACACATAGTTTTTCCGCCCCCCCCGTCCTACCTGAGTTTATTATTCAAATAATCTTCTCACATTGAACAATCCTCACATAGTGTGACAACATATTTTTACAAACAAGTACATATTTTTACAAACGCTGGAGTGATGCTCTCAGCACTCCAGTGTAATACAATAGGAAAAACAACACCTTCAATTCAGCTAAGTTTGTCTCTTGTGCATTACATTCTCTAGAGAATTTGTTTATTATTGATGAAATGTAAATGTTTGTTGATTTTACCAAATCTTCCATTATTTATTCATCAATAATTTGCAATAAACAGTCAGTTGGATGTTTCAAATTTCTAAAGCTTTTCTTGACACTATATTGTGCGGCCGTGTCCGTTCCATCTATTCAAACATAAAAATTATATGATGTCAAAGAAGATCATGGGAATCATCATATCACTGGTCAGAAACAGTTTCGTGAACACTTTCAGAAATATTATCGCACTGAGAATCGGAATTTTCATTTTCGCTATCAGTTTCAACACTAGCGAGAAGAACCCGCAGTCGTTACTGTTCTCGCTCGTAGGCATTCATCTCAATGAATGTCTCCCTGGAAGTGAAACGTTAGTACACGCGCGGGGTAGCTACAATCCCGTTGTACATGCTTTCTCCGAAAACACAAAAATCCCATGGACACGGGGAAAAATTCCTCTTCGGACAACCACCTTCCTTAACCTTGATATTGAAAGGTACATAAAGTACTAGAAAGGTCACGTACGACCTTCCCTTATTTTCTAAGAAAAGACTACATGTGGGGTGGATTTTACCCCAACGCGTGTGCTGACGGGTTAAAGAAGACAAGTTTTAGTGCATATATTACCTTTGCCATCCACATTGCTTGATGCAGAACCCCTGGAATTTGAAACTAAACTAGCTTTGAAAGCAACCTCCTAGTACAGGAGAGAAAGTTGTAATAACTCTTTGCAGTCTTCTCTTGGATGAATTCCGTTTTTAGGACATTTCGATTTTAATTAACTATTTTCACTTGTGTTTTTTCACGAAAGCCTTGAAAGGAACTTTCTTCATCCAGCATTGTCGTGTATGACTTCTTATCAAGTGAAGCCGAGAGACTTAGGAACTCTCTAAAAATCTGGATATCAAGACTACTTTATGCTATGCCAAAACGCTGCTCAAACACTCTTTTGAATATCAGTTCGTGGATGTGATGACGGCAGGCCTACCACAAAAATCCTCTTCTGATTTCCTTTTCAGTTCTGGTTCATGCCATTTGGATCAGTCCTGCATTTGATGAGATGATGTCAAAAGATGTACTGATCATATTGTCACGCAAAGCACAATTGGTCCTCTTCTTGAAGAACTACCTTCAGTCATATTCTTACCAGTGTCCTTCAGAACAGCAGGTATGCCAAGAAAATGCTTAAAATCCTTTCCAGTCACTACACCTGTAACTCTGTCTTCCAAAGTTTGATTTACAACATTTTACTATTCCAATGCAAGACCGAATGAGGAGGGGTTTCAAAGAGTGAATCTTCAATTTTCTTTGGCATTTTACTTCTTCTGATCACCAGAGCTCGACAGATGGTAGCTGAGCTGGAGGTAAGGAAATTTTTTTCAACATTGTGGCCAACGCTATTTGCAGTTACAATATATGAAGTACTTGTTTGTCTAATAGAGAGCTGTTCTCGACCCCAAGTAGACGTGAGTGTCTGATCAAGGTGTTTCAATCTAGGATTTAATGTTTTCGTTGCTGGAGGCGAAAACATGGCCTCTTCGTCATGATGATTATGAGATAATATTAGGTGCTGATAATGAGGCTTCCAGTTTAACTGTCGTATCGATTCCAGCGATAGATTTGTAATATTATTCTTATATAATCATTTTTGTCTTCTTTGTACATTTAGTTCTTATTTCGAAGAAAACCTGCCTACTCCGCTCATTTACGAAACTTATACGATATCTCTTTGACTAAGAAATTCTTTATATCTTGTGATAAGCTAGTCATGTCCGTCACATTTTGCCAGGAAATATGAAATAACTCGACGAAATCATTTTTTTAAACTGCGTTAAATTGCTTATAGTTTTCTGGATTCTTACCTAGATTTTGGTATTTTTTGTACAGCTTTGTATACTAGCACGGATATTTCATCCGTCTTAACAAGTTATTGATTTCTCCACATTTCCTGTAGTTTAGTACCTTTTTTTTTTTTTTACTTTTACGCTGCGAAGGAGACTCAGCATCGAAAGGTTTCTGCATTCTTGTAATGGTATAAATATAAAGTATCGTTCCTTCGAAGGCTGCCAATATTAATGATATTATGATATTGTATGTATGAAAAACATAATTAAGGTTTAAAGAGAATAGTTAATTTTATTCATTTTTCATTAACATGTCTTAAAGGTATTAAAAGTTCCTGCAGTTAAACAGAGACTAAACTATTCATATATTTCTTCCTGTAGTCATGCATATAACTTTACAAAAATTAAGATTTGTGCTAATGATAATGAACGCATTTACATGCTGCATTTTATAAGTTAAATATAATTGAATTTAAAAGAATTAAGTAGTTTGTTTGTTTTATACGCATGTATTGTTGAATACACTCATGAAGTATTGTATATTCACACTTTTGTATATTAATCTGTCTTATGTCGTCCAAACCGAATCTAAATAAACATCTTTACCTTTCGGATTATCAAGTCCAAGCGAGTGGTGATTAATAGCTACCTCACGAGATACCGCATCAAATTCAGTGGTTACCGAGATTCAACTCTAAAGTGCAAAGGGTTAAATTATTCTCATAAAATTATACATATAACAAAAAGCGTCATTTATCTGTGTGATAAAATAACGAATGTTTTATTTATAATAGTTGATATATAGTATATATTGCAAAACTTCATTAAAAATACAATATTTAACAATTAAAAAAGATTTTAACTTTTTACTGTTGCTTTAAGTAATTTATTAAATTACATAACGATTTTTAAAAGTATTTCAAAAAGCAGAATTCATATCACAAGATTCATTTTTAAGATACGATACCGAAGAATATACTTTAAACATTGCCTAACTAATCACTTTGAAGATTTACTTATTACCACATACGCAGAT